GATCACCAACACTCACGTCCCTGGAAATTCTCCCAATTCTTCGTTAATATTGCATCTTCCGTTCCGCCACTTTGAATGACAGAAAGAAGATTCCTTATATTGCAAAATTTGCACAGAAGAACTTGCATGGAGCAAATGTATTGTTTTTGATTTATTTATCATTTTTGTCTCAATATTGTCAAGTGAATTCTCATGACATGTAATATCTCCCTTTTCTTTTTTGATCTGCTCAAACAGTGCCCAAATCAACTTAGAACCATGGAAAAAACTATTGAAAATTGTAAAAAGCTCTGGGTGTGCGCCAAGAAGCCTTTCATGAACCTGGAAAAATTGGCTACTGAATCAGCAAAGTTGGCCGTTTGTGATCAAATCAATTTGAAATTCTGCAAAGAGTTATTTGCCTTTGAAGCAGAAAAAACCACAATACTCCAAGAAGACAAAGAATTACCACCTCATATGGATCAAGAAATTCCTCAAAAATTGGTGGATATGGAATAAAATCAACCAAAAAAAATGTTCAATCAATTTTTGGATTTGAAAGGTACTTGACTGGTGTTTACACATGGGCCTATACAGAATAGGGAAATTCTGTAAACATTGAAAAAAAATCTGAATTTTTTGGATTTTCTGAATTTTTAGCTTTTGGATTTTCCCAGATTTTCAAATTTGTAGATGCTCTAGATATTCTACATTTTTCAGATTTTTTAGATTTTTTAGATTTTTTGGATTTTTAGATTTTTAAATTTTTTAGATTTTCTAGATTTTTTAGATTTTTTAGATTTTTTTAGAATTTTTGGGATTAGAGTTTTTAGATTAAAAGAATCTGCAGATTCTTTTCTATTTTTTTTTGATTTTTTTTAGATTTTTTAGATTTTTCAGATTTTTTTTAGATTTTTTTAAATGAAAGTTAAAAATTCTAAAAACTCTAAAATTTTTTTAAAATTTCTAAAATATCTGAGGATTCTAAAAAATCCAAAAAATATAAAAAATCTGAAAAATATAGAATATCTAGAGCATCTACAAATTTGAAAATCTGGAAAATCCAAAATCTAAAAATTCAGAAAATCCAAAGAATCCAGATTTTTTTCAATGTTTACAGAATTTCCCTAAAATTTACAAGATTTCCCTTTGGGGAAATTCTGTATAGGTCTACCTCATCTGACCATTTCCCATGTAGTTCCGGTGCCCACCAAAGTACAAGTTTTTTTTTGTTGCAATAACTTTTTCTGAAATAGATTTTACCATTCTTGATGCCCCAACAGGTGTTCAAAGCTTTCTTTGTAATCTGAAGTGACATTGCCATCCGCCTGAATCCTTTTGGTTTGACAGCTGGAAGAGTACAGTGTTTGATGCTCTTTGCCGGCCAAAGTAACTTGACAATTCCTTTTTGCTTGAAATCAATGTAGAATCGGTAATTGGGGAAGACAAATCGGCCGCCAGAAACATTGTAGCCACTTGAAGGGTCCGCAAGCGTGCCGTCAGAGGAATTTGTTGGAACAAAGAGCGCAAAAGCATATTCTGAGGTGTCACCTTTATCAAAGTGAGGAGCATTAAAAAATCCATTCGAAGTAAATGTGATGTGTGGGGCGCAGTCAAGCTTGGAGAGGCTATCATTGAATTCGGCTGAGGCAAAGGATGGGATACCATTTGTCTCCATCAAATCTTGGTTAGACTTGAATGGGATGTCGGCAAAATTCTTCAACATTCAGCCCAAATTGTTGGAGACTGAAGGATTTCATGACAAGGGCGAAGTATTCCGTGTGTGATTGACGAGCTACTCGCAGCTTGATGTAACGACCAAATAGTTTGAGAGCCTTCATACACTTCCGCCACCCGATTCCCCACATCCTGCCTCCCCAAGTGTGAGAAGGGCCAGTTGGATTTACAAATTTCTTTGATTGGTGAAGGAAGGTTGTCACGAAGTTGATTTCTTCTCTCTCAATGGCGGATAGTTCATTGATTGGGGTGAACTGTATGACAGCAACAACTTCACCATGGTTGCTCTTATCCCGCAAAATAACTTTCCCGTGATGAAAAGGATGAAATTTATCAACCATTTTGTTGGCTTCACAAAGTTTGTCGTCTGTGGGCTTCCGTGAAGGTTTTTTCTTTTTGGCATGAATCCTTGGGTAGAGGTGGAGCTTGCGACATTGGCAGAGGGACCAAATTACTTTCTCACTTTTAAAACCGGATGAATGGATATCAAGCAATACTTGAGAGGTTCTGCCGTTGGAGCGCTTTTTTGACGAGCTTTAGCCTTCATGGCATTCTTAGGTTGTACAGACTTCGAAATTGTCATCATACAATTTTCCAACCAAGTCCTTAAACAGATTGGAAGCACTGTATGACAACTTGATAAAAGAAGTTCCTATTTGGGGGGGGGAATGAATAACCGATGGAATTAGAACTAAATTTTTTTTTGAGGGGCTGGAGGGCAATGCAGACAGAAACACAGTTGAATTGCCATGAGACACTCACAGACTGACAGGTCACAGCATCTTATTCCAATTCAAATTTCAAGCCATGATCACAGCACCCATGGCTTGGAAAGCCATTTTGTCATTGACTTGGTGACAGCGGCTGCCAGGTTGTCTGTATACACCACATGGGAGACTAATGTCTGATTTCAAAAAACACTATGGGAAACTGTACCATTTGGCAGCACCGCTATCATCAACAGCCACTTCAATATAACCACAAATCCCTGTGGGAAAAGATTGATAGCCTCCCAAGATGATCGTTGTTCCAGAGACTGTAACATAGCAGAGAACACAGGGAACCAATGTGGTGACCCCAATAGTTCCGTTTGGTTGTATGAATGTACATAAAATGAGTTTGTTATAATAATTATTGATGCTGATGATGCTGATGACAAATGAGGGAGGATGGCCGATTCTTTTTTGGAAGGGAATCTTGACTGAACAACCGGCTTTGGGAGGAGAGCCAGTCAAAGAATATAGAGTTGGACAACTTGAAATTCCATGGAAGTATTGACATACTGTCATGAAGTATTGACAATCTTGTAAAGAAATCGCCACAACAGCTATCACGAGGCCTTGAATTTTGATTGAAAAGATCAGATCCATGGCACGTGTGTACAATACAAACGTAGCCAGTTGAGAAGACTTGAGCAAAAGGCTCACTAGGATACAAGTTACAACTGTGTACCAAGCTGTTGTTTCTGAAGGATTCCGCTTGATCGAAGCTCCGATCGACTTGCAGGTTGTAAGCAAATGTGTGGAACCAAACAAAGCATTCTGGATTGTTAAAAGATAAAGTAACACCCCAGTGGGATGAAGACTTGGTTGTGGACAAGTGCTGGCTGAGAATCATGCCCGAGTCTCTGTCCCGGCATCAAAAACTTGTGTCCAGAGGCTTGGGTGCTGAGGAGCTTGATAACAGATCCTAGCAAGATCGAATGGCCACAAGAATAAAAATCTTTTCAATACATGCTTACATCAATTTTTAATGTCATCATCCAGCCAGACAACCAAGAAACCAAGCGTGTAATACGTTCACACCTCATTAGCCAGTCAGCGGCAGCCCGGGATAAGACTGAACAGACACGGCTTGCCCGGAGTCATCAAAGCAGTCCCGTCCAGCTTGCCGACCCAACGGGAGGTTGCACTTGGCCCGCCCCTGTCTGGCTTGGCGACCCATTGGTGTTCTTGAGTTAGTCTGTGGCGAGGCGTCCATAGACATTTGATACTGGACCTAACCAGCATCAACATATCACTTTGCTTCATATACAGAATTTTGGAGCTTCTTTCTTGGTTTCTGATGTGTATGTATCTGATTGGCTGATCTTGGCCTTCCACATTTGCCCAACCTTGGCATTACTTGAAAACCTCAGGGAGCAGCTGACTATAAGACCAAATCCGCCGGCCGTCTCATGAATGATCAGAACCATCCACCACCCCGGTCAACGCTTCATGAACTTTTTCCATCTTAAATCTCAGACTCCAGTTAGCTCACCTCTCTTTTTTTCTCTCTCTCTCTTTTCCCCATGAGCTTCATCAACTGCTGCAAATGCAATCTCTGGACCAACACGCTTCAGCTCCATAAGGTGGGGGCAGGAGGTGCATCACACTGCGGAGAAGCTTTGACAAAAGGCTTGAACCAAATTTTGAGTTTGCTATGGAAACTCCGGGTTGGGGCCACCAGGGCATCTATCCTAAACATGCCATATTTATCATGTCTCGTGATACATATTTATCAATTAGCATTGTCCAATCCCGACCCGGTATCTGAAGAAGTTCATCAAGTGCGCGGGCCATCTTGAGGAGATCATTTGGACGGGAAGGGGCGGTTTGGGAGCATGGAAGTTCATGCAGAACAGGCCAAGCGCCTTGAACGTCCGGGTCAAGTTCACACCGGTTGCTGCTTGTCTTCCACCCGAGGCTTTCGCCTACCAACACAGCCTCCCCTCCTCAGAACCCTCCTCTAAGTTGTCCCACATTCGCGCCGGCTCTTCCCCTTGCCAGTTCTTTGGCCATCCTACATCACTCATCCGGAACGAAACACCAATCGCTCATTGCACCAGTCGTAGAACGAGTAGCATTGTAACCACTGAGGATGGATTGACGACAACAACGACTTACAATGGCTATAGCCGTAGAAGTAGTTCAACTAGTCTGGCTACTAGTTGGGCCTCCTCATCCTGCGCCCATCTTGTTCTTCATCATCATCATCCTCCTGCTGTGCTCCTTCAACCGGCTTCCATCATCAATCAATCCTCAAACATGGGATTCAATGTATCAGTTGGGACTATTGTCCCCCAATCAAAAAGGTAGCTTTTCTAAAAAGAACAAGTCTTCAGGAGAAATACTATGTCCAAAAAAATGTTGCTCTAGCAGACAATTTGTTTTCATTTAAATTTCAGTACTTTTTTATGGCAAGTATGAGCATTAATCCAAGAGAGAGACCTGGTAGTACAGACTTATTTGTGATTGCCTCTGGACGAGGAGCCGGACTTGTCTCCCTTTTTCTTCAATGGACTGTACAACACCATTGTGAAGCTTCCATCCTTGTGAGTTTGGTTAAAAATTCAGTGACTACAACGGACAGGCATGTTGGGCAAGACCTATTTTACATCAAACAATCATGCACCTATGTAGTTAGCTATATGTCCTGGTGTTGCTATCATGAAAAATCACAAAAATCATCACTTACTAGTGTTTTCTTAGCTCGAACTTCCCGCTGCTCATCAACCAGGGGTGGTACAACCTCCAAGCGAGGGCCACCTTGGATCACTTCAGTGGCCACCACAACGGCTTCAGGGATTGGTGAGACATCGAACTCTGGCGTGGATGAGTGCTTGTGAATGTCTGACATTTTTTTTCGTATTCTTATGATTAATTCCGTAGCAATCCACAAACAGGTCTCACAAATGTGTATTTATGATACTGACTTAAAAATGGTGTGAGAAGATTTTGGCCCCACCACACCTGAGTGCTTGGCACCTCAGCAAGACTTCAGAATCTTACTCTGTTTATCTACAGATTCAAAACATTACTTCAAGTCCCCTTCCATTCATGAACTTTGTCTATCAATTTAATCACCTATCTCATGAATCCCAATTAATCAATTCAAAATCTTTTGCTCTAGGACGGTTCACATTTGAAATATTTCAGCAAAATTTTTATGTAAAACCAGCAGAGCGCTTTGAGTTTGCATGCATAAAGTTGGCCTGCATGTCTGCCAATTTTTAAACTTTTTTGAGACCAGCAAGCATGAATTTTATCCAAAATCAACAAGATTTTATTCAAATGTGAACCGTCCTATTGATCCCATAATCCTTTCCTCTTAGTTTTACAATTATAATTCTGTCTGGACATGTTTTATTTCCTGGGTAGCCACTTGGGTGTCTCCAGTTTGGAGTTCCACTGAATCAAAGCAGCAAAATTGTACAGCTTCCCCTCTCCAGCCCACCCCCAGCTGAACACTCCCTGAAGATTTTGCTTGTTGGAAATTATTCTGGAGTTATTAGCCTGGTTCACGCAGGGTGTTTCTACGACATGGGTGAAAAGTCGCACTGCTTGTTGCTTAAATTGTTTTGATTAAATTGTGTGTGGAACTCCGCCAAGTTTTTAATGAGATGTCATTAAGCATTGCTCATCGCACAAATTTTATTTGGGAACGGAAAGCTATGTGAACCGGGCTATTGTGTTCCTCTTTCCTGTCACTTTCACACCATTGTCACTCCTTTTCTCATCTGTCACTCCTTTTCTCTCAGTTTCAGATGAATATTTCTTTTTTTTCACATTCTGTCCCACACCTCAGCCCCCTCAATCTATGTAGTCAAATAGACATGCTTAGGAGTTAGCAAGTGAAAAGACCAATCTGCTTTCTGGATCAGTTCCCTTGAGTCTGAGACCACACTAATACAGTCTCTTGTAACCCACAAGCTAGCGGCCTGTAAGCCCTCAAAGCGGGCTTCTTGACTGCCCTTGCTCTTTTCTCTCATCAGAGTTTTTTTTTGTTGTCATCAGTCACTTCTCCCTCTTCTCAGCTCTTGTCATGGAATTCCATCATTGCTCAACATCACATCACATCACATCATTTCCCAGCCTGCTCATCCAGAATACATCTAAAGATGTGTCTCCTTGGCCCACCTACTGTAGCAGGGTTCATGCTTTGAATTCATAGAATTCAAGTGTCTTTTGGAGGTCTTTATAATCAACAACTTTCTTGAAAGTTCCAAAAAAGAAAAATCCTACAGTTTGTTAAGAAACCATCAAAAATCTGTCCATCTTATCAAATCTCTAGAATGTTGTGGATGATAATCAATTAGCCCTTGAAATCGGGTTGAGAAATTCAAGAATTTGGATCTTGAACCCAGCTCACTAGAGATCAGTGCCAAGGTAATGTTGGAACGCCAGACTATATGAGAACAAGGAACTGGGAACATGCTTACCCCCAACCGCTTTGGGTCTGTAAACTGGACTCACATCCGTCCACAAATACCATTGTATACAGTCAAATCATCGCTGGCATTGTGCTTGTCTCACTAGAAACCTTCAAATCCAGCTTTACCAAACCGTGCTTCAGGTGAACATGAGGTTGTCCAAAGCTCCGCAGTGCGAACTTGGCCTCCATAATTTTTTTCATGTCCCCTACTCTAGCTTATGTAAGAAGAATGTGTTTTACTTTAGGGTGTCCAAGTCCACCTTCAATGATCATGCAGAACAACGATTGTCGATCTCATGAGTACATGAGTAGAATTTTAGAGGCATGAAATTTGAGATGGTTTGTGGAAGCCTTATAAGGCTAAGTTTTCTTCTCCTGCAGAATGAAACCCAAACCAAAAGATGTGGATATGTGAGAAAGAAATCCCAGTTGGAAAAGCTACACCCACTAATTATAGGATCATCAACAAAAAATAATGATCATCTGGGTGATCATTCATGATCTTGCTGCTATCTTCCTCTTCGTTTTGAGTGTAGGGTTTTTTTTGGTTTGAATACCCGATCATAGATTAATTTGAGATAACCACCCTGTTTAGAGAGCGGGCAGTTGGGAAGTCTAGAGGGATGTTGTTGGTACCAATGTTCCATCAGATCGAGGGCAGCTACCGCAGCTGTATGCCTGTTCAACTTCTTTGAATCGGTCAAGATTTTATAGAGAATTATCTGGGGATCCGTGAGTGTTCTCAGCGAGCAGGTTGGATGAATTTGGCCGAGGAGAGGCAAGCGATCCAGTGTGGCTGTGAAGACGAGATCATAAAACCAATCAAGAAGAGCCTTGTGGGTGTTTGTAGCTTTTCCGAGAACGATTCGATCGAGTCCATTGAAGCGAAACAAGTTATGGAACCGGTTCAGATGATCTGCAAGATGGGAGATTCTGGCGTAGACCACGTCGTTTAAAATCCTTTCTTTTCCTCTCTTTTTGACGTCCAAGGGCAGTTTGACCCAGCAAGTATGACTGCTTGGTGGGACAAACCGCGCCAGCATGATGATCGGCAAAGCCTCCTGGATGGGGCGGGATGGTTGAAGGAGCACTTGCGATGATTCACGGATGTCTGGCGAAGGCGTGTAGATGACTTCTAACTCTCGGATTTGGAGAAGCACACGTTCGTTGAACTGTCGGGCTGCATGGCGATCTCGAATCGACTGTTTTCCTATTGCCTCTTTTGCGCGCCGCTCTAGAGAATGGAGGCGAATTGTCGGCTCGGAAACAAAGCTGTATCCCATGATTGCACCGGCGGCTTCGGTGATTTGTTTTGCGTCGAGAACCGCACTTTCGGAGTGCTTCTTAGGATCGCCGGAAGCTGGATTTCGTTCCGTCGGTTGGAGTTGTTGATCAACCTTCGATCGGTCGGGCTGTCCCAGTGCTCGTTCTATCAACAGAGGCTCAACTGCCTGAGCTGTATCGTCATGTCCGTTGTCTGAAATGATTGGAATCCAAACGGGAGAATCGGATCATGAGTGGTTCATCGTCAAATTTAAAAAGAGAAAAAACCAGCTGCTCCGACGGCGTGAAACTACTAACTTTGCTTCTCGACATAACATCCAACGTCGCTCCAATTTAATGCTTCATGATCGGAAAGAGGGTCTCCAATCGACTGATCAAAGAAACCTACAAAAACGAGCCCACATATCAATCAAAGAGATTCGCCAGCGCATGAATCGTGGAGTATCTTAGTGTTTACCGAGTGAATCGGAGGGGGGTTTATTGTATGAACAATCGAGCCCTACCGCAATCTTCTGTCGCTTTGGAGACCTGGAATGACCGAACTCTTCGGTGATAATCTTTCGCCTTGGATAGCCCGAATAAGACTCCAAGAACTCGAGATCAAGGCCTTTGAATATATCCATCTCATTTTGGTGATCGACTGGATCGCCCGCTGCGAAGATTGTCTCAGCAGGAGAGCCAATCGCTACGCTGAAGAAGCAAGAAACGATTATGGGCCAAATCATATGTGGATTGCGGCGAGGCAGGGCGAGGCAGCCGTTGGAGATGGGTCGGTTTTATTTCTTTGGACCGAGTTTTTACTACTCTAGATACATCCTACTCGAGCTTGTTGAGCCCATCGGGCAGTACTCGGGCTCTGTTGAACTTTATTCTTGGATCCCTTACTCTGCCAGAAAATGAAATCAAAATCTGATTCTTGTAAGGCACGGTGTATGACGTGCAATGTAAATATGTCTGATAACAACTTTATTGGACATGGATAGCATGGCCCTTACGGCGGAAAGAAAGATGAAAACGAGGAGCAAAGCATTGTCCACATCCACCGAAACCTGTGGGGGTGTGAGGGGCAACGATAAAACCGAGAGTCTGAACAAGGTTGGACAGCAATCAAACGAAGGTGATTACATGGCTGGTCGTACGCACATTCGGTCTGGGCGAGGTGATGTTACGGCCAGGGTCTGATAGCCATCAGTATCGACTCGAGGTCATGTTTGAAAGATGATATGTATCTGCCAAACGTGAATCTCGTCCTGACCAAAGAAATGGACAAAACCCACAAATGATGAGGCAGCGGAGTTCCATAGCACCGGCAGCCAAAGGATGCCATGAGGAGAAGAGCAGGAAGCGGAAGGGTTCCAAAGAACATCTGATCAACAAAAAAAGAATGGAAGAAAGCAAGACCTATGTACCGCTACGATTTACGCAGAGACTCTCGGCGGAGACGCTTTCCAGCAGAGATTTGTCGATGGCCAGCTTGCTCAAGCAGCTGCACCAGGAGACAAGATTCCCGTTTCCTTGGCCTTGAAGGTGCCATTTCGTAATTGGGGCCGAGACTAACGAGCTGATGGATGGCATCGAATCGCGGGGTTCCGAGGAAGAAGCTCAAAGGAGAATCATCATCAAGGGGTTTTTTTTTTTTGGGGGGGGGGGGGGTGTCTGTATTCTCACAAGCCGAGCCGTTCTGGAAGTGCAAGATCAGGTCCTCCTGCAGACTCCAGCTTGCAAGTTGGCCACCAGATCAATAAAAGATTCAAGTCCGAAGTAGCCAGCTGGAGCCTGGAGCCGACCCATCGGCCGCCATCTGCACACGATTTCTGCGAATCAAGGGTAGTAGTGGCCCGAGTGGGAAGCTGTAAAAGACAGACGGAAGGTCGTTAGAGTCTCCAACGATGGGAGTTATCTGATCTCACTGCCATAGCGAGAATCCAGGCCATTCGGCGTTGGACGCCCAGTTGAGCACTAGATGTCTCATGAAGGTGTTGCTCTCTGTCCCATCGTGATCGGCGGGTGATCCGGATGGATGAAGTGCTCCCAAGCTTCCTGCGAGCCCGGCTCCCGTTTAATTAGGATCCCGCAATTCTCAGCTGTTGTACGCCTTTTTTTAGCCGCCCTGTCCTTTGATCTAATAATCTTTTAGCAGCTGCTCGTCCCCAAATTGACATGCTACTACTACAGATCAGGTACAACACCCGCCACTGGTCTCAGGCACCTGTACAACAATATTAAAGTCAGCCGCCGTCCAGTTCTCTGCCCGAATCGCCTCACTTCCTTTACCTCGTTCGTCGTCATTGAGCCACTTTTCGATTATCTAAATATATAAAGCTGGGTTGATCTTAGGCTTGTCGTTCCACTACACATCCCATCCGCACTTCTTCTTCCACCCGACCTCTATTCCTCACACAATATCTCTCCATCCTCGCCCCACCCTCCCAGTCGCCTAATAATCCTCCCACTCTTGCCCGCTTAACCACTACTCTCCTTCACTTCAAAAAAACTTATTACCAGTCTTTCTTCCTCAGCTCAACACTTCAATACTTCTTACCCCACCATGCAATTCTACACCGCTCTATTGGGATTGGTAGCTCTGAGCTCCGGCGTCACTGGTAATGAAAGAACCCTCTCTGGATCCTGTAACTCGAACATCGAGACTGATTGTTTGCGGTCTTCATTCAAGCTTTGAGCATCACGTCTCCTTCCGGCAGCTCCTACTGGGTCCAATTCTCCACCAACACCATTGCCTGGTCCCTCTCCTCGGGAGACCCCACATCTGTTTCGTTCGTTGATCACTCGCCCATCTCTTCATGCAGACTTTCCTCCAACGCTGAACGGGGTTATTTTTTTTTGTAGTATTCAAATCATCAACCCTACTAACAAGCAATTCAACGGTCCATTCTCGATCGCCGAATACGTCCCGGCCGCCAAGAAGTCCTACGACGTTACCAATGTTCAGTTGATCATCGCCGATGGGTAAGCCATTTTTTCTTTTCTTTGATACCACATCACATGTGTCACTTCCAAAACTCACAATTTTTTCTTGGTGCTTTGATGGTCTGATCAGATACGAAGTAAGTGCTTGCTTTCGTTGTGAAAAATCAAAACCGTGACGGTTCCAGGCTAATAGCTCAACCTCAATCCACAGGTCCAGTTCGTGAACCCGTTGAACAACACCGAAGTGTATGCGACCTCGGCCCCGTTTTCGGTGAAAACCAGCGGAAGTGAGTTCAGAGTATGACTTCGAGTCGTGCAACAAGCTCGACATAACTAACCGGAAGTTTTTACCGTTCCCCAGCCGCCCCTGCTCAGGTGACATACGCCCCAGGCACCCACGAGTCTTCCAACAGCTCGAACAACTCGAGCTCCAACGCCAACACGTCCTCCAAGAACTCGACCATGAACGCCGACATCAACGGCAACAGCTTCAAGAACAGTGGCAATGCTAACACCAACGCCAAGTCTTCCTCCGTCCGCGCCGCCGCCATGCCCTCCATCGTCGCTCTCGCCCTCGGATCCCTCTGCGCTTTAGTTGCTTGATCCGTCCTTCTCCCCCAAACTCGACCTGGACATTCGTTCACCACACCTCGTCATTCGATTTTGTCGGGCTATCTTATTTCCTTTTTTTTGTTTCTTCGTTATACCCTTCTTGTGCGACGCTCCCTTTGCAGAATCAGTAGCTATGCTTTCCCGTCAGAGTACTATGTCTGTGTTGCACGTTATTCATGTAACATTATAATAATATGCTAACCATGAAATTCTAAGCATCAGTATTTCATCGGACTCAACTTGGAATCTTAGCAATCAGTTGTGTTATATGAGGCGACCACACTGATCTTTGCTCGGCCTTCCACGCCAGCCGATCAGCGTACATACACGAAGACCCAGCTCATTAAACCCGCAATCAGGCAAAGCCAAGCAGAATTGTGCCCCTGTTGCTTGGAACTTGAAGTTCTTCCAGGGCTGTTTGGTACTGAAACCCTGACATCGTTTTGCATGCTCATCCACTTAATCTCACAAGCAGTCTAGTTAATGATCTCGATGAACCCGTTACCATCTCTGTCGTCGAGGTGCGCTTCACAACCAGCTTGTGTCAAGCCCTTCTCACATACGGACATGTAGTATAAGAAGAACAAGGGGTGTAATACTCGATTGATTGTTCCAATGGGCATTCCGAAGGATAAAACAAGCTAAAGGTCACTGAGCACGGAATCTCACATGTCATACACACATATTCTGTAGTCTACGCGCTCTGACGATGCGAAGTATTAATGGTGGCGGTGGGGGGGAGTCATTTTGAGTTTTGGTGATAGTGTAAAGAAAGGAACGTGAAACCGATCGGGAGTCGTTATGGGTGCATGATATATATATATAGAAACAGGAGAGTGTTTGGTGGGTGAATATCTCGGGTATTCTGATCAGCGCGCGTTTTCTTAAAGCGTTGCCAGACCGATCGCGGAAGCAACGACGGATAAGACAGCAAACGAGATCGGAGAGACGATGGAGGCATCTGATCGGGCGTTGGAGTTGGCAGTGCCGTTAGCGTTGTTGCTGAACCCGGTGGTGTTTCCTGGGCGGCCGCTCATGTTGTTCCCTGGCATGCCGCTCATACCTGTCATGTTACGCATGTCATTGGACGTACCAGGCAAGCCAGAAAGGCTGCTGGGGGCACCGGGGCCAGAGCCAGGGGCAGCGGGGGCTGTGCAGGTTATAAAGAAAAGGGTGATTAGGAGGTGGAGGCTTGTTCGATAAGATGACAAAGATGCTCACTGTCGCTGGGCTTGACCGAGAACGGGGAAGAAGAGGCGTAAACCTGGGAGCTGTTAGCAGGGTTGACCATTTGGACCTAGTTGTGAAGATGGATTCAAAAGAAATCATGAGATCAACGATGTTGTTGGTGATTCGAATCATTGGAGCAAGGGGCTCTCAGATGCTCACAATGTAACTGTTCCAAAGATATGCAAATTTTGACGCGATCAGTTCATCCATCAGCTTATCCCAGTAAAGCAATAAGAAAGAGACTTACCCATCGGCAACAACGAGGGTGACGTTGGTGACAGTGTAGGCCTCGAGGGCAGCGGGGACATATTCGGCGATCGAAAAGACTCCATTGAGCAGGGTGTGATTGGAGTTGACGATCTGCAAACTGAGGATGAAGATGGTATATAATATATATGCGGATAGAGTTCAGGACATTCGGTCGATCGAGGCATGCTATGACAGGCTTGCAGGAAAGACAACGGATGACTCACGTGACTTGCGGGGAATCGTTGGGAGCATTAGTCCAAGCGATGGTGTTGGTGGCGAACTGGACCCAGTAACTCGAAGCCGAGGGCGAGTTGATGGTAAAGGCTGTTGGTGGGTGAAGAGGAGAAGGAAGAAGATGAGGTTGGAGTTGGGATGAAAACCAGGGAAATCAGTGATCGGCTCGGGAAGGGGATAGAAGATTGAGAAGATAAAAACAACGGGAACGGGCCCGGGATGTGGCGCTGAAACTCTTACCTGCAGCCGAGGCGATGAGGCCGGCAAGGCTAATCAACAAGTTCAAGGAACGCATACTGCACTGACGATCAGGCGATAATCAACGGGATGGATGGAGTGATGGATGTACGAGTAGGACAATTGTGGGCGCTGTTTACTCTGGAAATCGGCTCAAGGGAGAGAGAGAGACCTGAGAAATGAGGAGGGAGTCGCAGTATAAATAAGCAAGGAGCAGTCGATGATAGGGGTAATGGTGGAGCCGTTGGCCGAGGCTGGAGTTTTTATATTTCTTTGGTTGGGCGAGGGTTAAGTTAAGCTATGTGAAGTGTGATTTACTGTATGGCATGTTTACTCCAAAGAGTACAGAAAAAGGCTAAAAAAAACAGAAAAAACACATGACTGCGGGTCAGACCGACTGTCGGTTCAGTCGGGCACTCGGAGGGAATCCAGGGGGGAAAGAATGTCGAGAGAAGCTGATCGAATAAAGAAGAGTGGTGGATTTCGAATTGGAACTTCCAGCGTGGAATTTGCACCCAGCCAAAGCCAATCTGGCGAGACACACGTCGACCTTTAATCAAAAAAATGTTCAAATGCAGCGGCATGGCCGGCTATGTTGGCCGGTTTTGACCGGCACAGCGCCAACATGGCACAACAGGTCTCCAAAGTGGATCATTTCATGAATCGGAAAGGTCCTGCCAGTACTTGCTCTCGCGAACATCCTGGCTGGCGCTCACCCCAGTTGATGAGCCAGGTATGAAAGATGTACAATCTGGCCGGATTTCTTCGTTCATGCAGATCTCGCAGACGACCAGTCATTGAGCTGGAACGAGTCAGAAATAACGACCGCCAAATCTCAACCGGCCTCTGATGCGTTGGGGGTGGGGGGAAGGATCGGAACCAGAATACATAAAGCAAAACACCGGTCAATGACCTTCAATGACATAATGACAAGCAATCAACCATCTTGGCGCTAAAAAAACATCATGTGTGCACAGTGACTGACACGTCCAGTTTTCACTACATACTTTTTTTTGCTTAGCCCTCACAACAAACGTGGTGAGTAGTGGGCCACTATTTTTTGAACTAGTGTCAGCATAACAGTGATTTTTTGAGTGCAAATTCTGGATTGTCATTAGGGGGTATCAAATATAACCAAATTCACCATTATTTAATTGACTAGTTTGAAAAAATCCACCCTTTTTTAAACATGTTGGTTATCCATTTAACCCCTTTTGGGGTCCATTTATGCAAAAAAAAGTTTTTGGAAAAGTGACTGGTTTCTGATGGTGGATTTACTATATTTGATACCCCCTATTAGCAACTTTTGGCTAGGGGATGCTACAGCACCAGTACAAGGCTTCTTGGACACAGCTACACCACAGGTTGAGTTTTGGAAATGGCACTCCGTCGGCTTGACCCCGCGGTCAAGCACTGGTCGGGCTCAACCCCTTTTACGCAATCCCGCCGGATTGGTCTGGCCAACGTCAATTTTGGGTAGGAAAGCTGTAATTCCAACGTTGGCTTGACCTCAGGGTCAAAAAGTCCCACCGTCGGCTTGACCCCATGTCTGAAAATGAAGAAAAAAAACCTGTTTTTTTTGACATTTTTTCTACACCCTTTTCATGCCCAAAAACTTGTGGCCACCTCAAGAAAAAAAAAAAAAAAACTTGAAGACAAAAATTCTATATGCAATTTGAAATTTTCTATCTATTTATATGCAAAACCAAGGCAGATTGGTATGATATGATTGGCATAGCACAACACGCAATTGGCTCACGAAAGCAAAGTTTCGTAGCGCACACAAAATACGGATGCATCACCTGACAGATTTCGTCATCTGTTTTTTTAACTTCTTGGACTGTTTTTTTTTGTTGGTTGTTTTTGTTTTCGTTGACTAAATTTAGTTTCGTGGGCTGTTTTTTCCGTTGGCCATTTTTTTTGCTCGCCATTTTTTTCATGAGCTGTTTTTTTGTTGGCTGTTTTCTGCCAATCAGTTGATTTTGGGAATATGTATTACTTTGTTGGATTGCATAAGTATAACGGATTGGGCAATCTTAGTGTGTTTACGTATATATGTACCTAATTGAAGCTGTCCCAATCCAGACGTGGTTGAAACAGCTCTCATACTACACCTGAGGCAGAATCCACTCAACCTCTGGCCTCGCGGTCTAGCCAGGTTGAAAAGACCTCCTGTAACATCCCAAGAAATACAAACAGATAATCCATCCAATTGTTCATCATGGAGGGCAATCTTCAAAGTATCGTTCAAGCTGCCGTCGAAGCTGCAATGGCTCAGCAAAACCAAGTTATCCAACAACTCCAGGCCAAAAATCAAAGGCTTTCTCAACTGACACAAGGAGTTAGCAACCTGAATGTTACAAGCGGCAGCAAGAAAACACGGAATCAACTTTCTGCTAGCGGTACTCCCCAAAAGGCCAACACCGACAGAAAAGGAAAAACTCCTGTCAAAACGCTTCCCACCCCCCGACCAGCCAACCTTGGCCAATCCGGCGCAACAGCAAAAACACCTGTGGGTGTAACATCCAATAGAAGTAACTCAAACCGTATGATGGTGACAGATGTTCCAGAAAGCTTCCTGAAGACTCGAGTGCGTGTCTGCTTTTTGGTCTTGTTTTTTCTTTTCTTTTTTCATTTCACCTGCTAACTGATTCCAATACTTCTCCATAAGGACTGTATGTATACTCACATCAGGATCTTGTGGGGGCTATTGGAAGAGAATGCCATTCCACAAGCTCCAGACATGAATACCTTGAAGGAATTTCAGCATCGCTTTTCTGAAGTCAATCAAATTAAGGATGCCACCGAAAATGTCCAGTCGCCCAAGCTAATTTTGGAGGGGGAAATCACCACCCTGCGCACTTTGAAAAATGGACAGAAAATAATCTCAAAAAAAATTGTTCATGATGAAGAATTTTTTTTTTTCTCTATACACGTTCAACTCTAGCGCGGCTTGGTATCCAAACTTGGGCTCCTGATCTGGAAGACTCACCAGACTCATTATACAATGAGGCCTGTCGCATAGCTGCCATCAAGAGCTTCCGTCAAGTTGCAAGCAATGGAGCTTATAAGTTTATGAATTGCAATATTCAATACGTCAATGACATCAATATCCTCATCCAAGCTTACAATCATTATGTCTTCTTTGTTTCAAAGAACAAATACAACCAAGAGAAAAACAACCCAGGCGGTCTGAGGCAAGAAGCAGAGAGAAAAAAAATTCCCATGCACGAGGACGAGTGAGTATTTTCTTCATGTAGTGGGCTCATTGGCCATGTAGAGATACTGGCATGTTAAGTTGTTTTTTTAAAGCTTCAATCTATACGGGAAGATTTTGCTAGGGCTCATAACCTGCCCAATCAATACAAAAGAATTATCAAAAGCTTAGATGCCCACAGCGACAACGAATACAATGACCAACACAAATGCTACATAATAAAGAGTGTTGCATTCCAAACAAAAAATGCAAATAAGTTCTTCCGTCAACTTGGTGAAGAAATAGCAAAGGGACGTGAAGGCTCAAGAGATCAACATTGCATACAGAAGCTTCCAGACACACCTCAACCATCCATATTCTCAAAAATACCCAAGCAACTACCTTTAGATTATTACGATCCTGAATGGTTTAATGACCAACTACCTGCTTGAAAGCGCAAAGCAGCAGATATCTGGTCTGTGGCATTTTTCCCCAATGCTGATAAATCACTACTTGGAAAGGCAGACCCTTCCAAACGCTTATCAGACAGCAAATTCAATAGCCAGTTCCTGCAAGAACTGCAGAAACCCTATGACCTCTCGCATGAGATAAACGATAACAATGATGAGGACGATGAAACAGATATCAATGATGATGATGATAGCCATGATGGTGAGGTGGTTGTCTTGGGTAGCTCGGGTGATGGGTTGAATGAAGACAATCCAGACAACGAAAATATGGATGTTGTCAACACCAATGAACAGGTCAATAACCAAGGTGGTTTTGATGAACACTACGAGGATTTGGTGGATGAAGAGAGAGAAGAAGAAGCTCGTGATCAGCGCTTCCAGATGATGGTTGATGAAGCAAACTGGTGATGGTATGCATCTTTGATTGTCTATTTAAATGAACCAATACTAATTAAACATACTTTGACTTGGTAGGAAGTCAACACCTCCCTTACTTCTGTGGTCTTTTTGATTCCAGTCTGAGATCTCTGCACTTTTTGTCATTTCAAACTACTCAAAAAAGAAAATTAAAGCTACTAAAATGAATCCTGATTACTTCTTCACATCATGAAATCTATTGTTTCCTTTTTATCCATTGGGATGCTCATTAGAAACAATCCATTTTTGAAAAGAACAAAAATAGCAATGATATATGGTTTTGAATCTCATAAAAGAAGGGGCTTGGTTCGGATGACCCTGATTTCAGTTGATGAGGAAGTGATCACAAGGGATAAAACTGAAACAAATTTTTCTAATCAAAACTTATCATAGTAATTTGAAGACCATGCAAAGAAAAAATAAACTAGGGATTTCGATTTGGTGGATTCAAATGAGAATTATGGTCCCCCATATACATCTTAGTGATATCTTTGCCTATGTTTGCAGGTCTGGAATAAATTGCTCCAGACTTTGTGTCCCGTGCTGCACTTGCTGTCTTTTTATTGATTTGAAGTGAGATCCCTGCACGCATATTCACCTTTGCTTTGCCTGGTGGTAAAGTACAATGTTCATAATCTTTCGCTCGCCAGACCATCTTGACCACTCCGTTCTGCTTTGAGAAATAGATCCCACACAGGTAATTAGGGAATACAAAAGAGCCTCCGGAAACATTATCCGCCTTTCATCCCATTGCAAGTTTTCCATTGGCTCGGGACCTTGGAAAGAAGATGCCGAACGCTAATTCTGAGATGTCTCCCTTATCACAATGTGGGGGATTGAAAAAATCGTCTCTGGTAAAGCTAAGATTGGAAGCACAGTCGTTTGGTTGGAGAGGAGCATTGAAATCTAGAGCTGCGTGTGCGGGTATGAAGTCCTTGGCCATCAACTCCCGGTTATCTTCGAATGCAACATTTGAAAAACGTTTGAACATCCTTCCAAGTATGTCCAATGAAGTCAAAGACTCTCGCATGAGTTTATTGTATTTATCCTGGGCATTGTCAATTGCATCTTGATCGCGGTACCTTCCAAGCAATTCGAGGGATTCCATTCCTTTCCTCCATCCCACCATCCACATGTTTCCACCCCATGAGCGGGAAGGGCAGTTTATCTTATTCACAAAGTCCTTCGCTCCATTTAGAAAGGTGGCTATAGTGTTCAGCTCGGCTCACTCAACCTCTGACAAGCGCTCCAGAGGGGTGAATTTGATGAGGGCGATCACCTTCAGGTTGTTCTTTTTGTCGAGCAGCGCAATCTTTCTGTGATCGAAGTACTAGATGAACTTGCGGGCTAATTGTTGCACAGTTTCAATATCAGCAGGACTTGGCTTTTGGTTTGGTTTCAGGTGTGGATATAGATTTAGTGGTTGGAACCGCCTGTCTGACCAAGTAATTCCGGAATCTGGGCCTCTGGGGTCATTTTGAGGAAGGGCGGTGGGGTCATCGACGGTAAGGGCAACCTTGGCTATTCTTTGATTTGCTTGCTTTGTGTTGAGTTTTTGTTTTTTACGCAACTTTTGGTAGCTCGCCATGTCGGACATATGGGGGTTGATAAGCGCAAGCCAACCCGCACGCCAGGAGGAGATTGGCGTGCGCGCCGGCACGCCAGCCCGTCAATGGCGTGCAGGGCCGCACGCCAGCCCGTCAATGGCGTGCAGGGCCGCAGGCCATTGACCTGCAGTTTGGCGTGCAGGCCTGCACGCCAAAGGTGTTTGGCGTGCAAGGCCGCACACCAAAGCTGCAGGGGCCTAAACGCATATACATATGCGTTTAGGCCCCAGGCCAACCCATACGACCCAGCCCTGGGTCGTATGGGTTGGCCACTGTCATTGGTCCAAGGTTTTAAACCTTGGACAATGACCAATCAAGGTTAAAACCTTGATCGGCCATTGTTCAAGGTTTAAAACCTTGACGAGCAACCTTGAACATCCGTGTAGGACCCAGGCCTGGGTTCCTACTATAGTGAATTGCTACGCGTGGGCGGGGTTCCAGCTCCAGCCCCGCGCCCGGGGTTCTATCCTCAGCTCGGATGGTCGCCTGCGAGCTCCGCCCTCCCTTTCTACCCTTAACCACCATCTCACCCAGTACCAGCCGACCGACCAGCCGACCGACCAACCACCGGCCACCGAGCCCGATTGAGCCCCGGACAAACACCCCGTGAGCACACAGGAACCCCCGACGACCCCATCAAGACACCAGACCCCCCGCACGCCCTTATCTCAACCGATCCGGACCGATCTGATCCGGACCGATCCGATCCGGCGCCGAAAAATTGCCACCTGGGTTGAAAATTTGTAAGGATCAATTATTTTTGGGTCTCCATCCCCCTAAGGGGGCCAAATTTTTTTTGTGGGTCTCTCTTGGCCGTCATGAAGTTACTTGGGGGCTCTTTGCCCCCTAAAGGGACCTATTTTTTCCTCTCTTTGGGCCTCTCTTGGCCAAAAGGCCCCACAAGGGGCCAAATTCAGCCCCTTGACCAACAAGACTTTTTTTTGGCGTCTCTGTCCCCCATAAAGGGGCCAATTTTTTTTTTTTGGGGGGGGGGCTCTTTTGGCCAAAAGGCCCCACAAGGGGCCAAATTCTGCCCCAACAGGCCAAATTCTGCCCCTTGGCTAGCCATGCAGCTGGTTTGGAGGGGCCCATGTGGCCAATTATCCCTGTTGGGGGGAATCTGCCCCCAATTAAGGTGTCTGTGACCAAAGGACCTCTTTTGCAATCCACCTCTAGGACCCTTGTGGGTCTATCCACTTCTGGTGTTTGTTTGGGGTCTTCAACAGCCAAAAACCCGTTGGAGACCCCCTTTTGGGCCTGTGCAGGCTTGTGCTCAGACACTGAAATGGCCCATTTGTGCCCCACAGCCCGATGAGATCAGTCGGAGAGGGGGGGGTTGATAACCGCAAGCCAACCCCCCACGCGCACGCCAATCTGCACGCCAGCTGCAGATTGGCGTGCGCGCCTGCACGCCATTGCAGAATGGCGTGCAGGCAGGCAAGCCATCTGCCTGCAGGGGTATACC